TGGCGGGGGCCGGCCTCTCGCCGGGGGGCGCCCCCACCTGACCTGTCGGGGGCCGCCCTCCTCGCCCCGCGCTTCGAGTCTCACCTGTGACCCGCGCGGGGCGCCCGGCGAGAGGATGCAGCGGAGAGCAAACAGGTGAGGCCCTTGGGGGCCCGCTCCGCCAGGGCCCCGTCCGACGAAGGGCGGGCGACGCGCGGCCCGAGAACGCGGGGGACGTGCCCGGCGATGACCGCCCTCTCTCCATTCCTCCCAACGTTCCCCGAAGCCCACCCCTGCCGGCTCCCCTCGTGCTGCCTCCCTGTGTGCTCCGGTGCTAGGCAGACCTCTTGGCGGGGGTTGGGATGGTAGCCAGGGCGCCGCCACGAACTCTGTCAGGTGGCCTCATTTCTGACGGAGGTAGGGGTTTCCAGGGTCTCTAAGTGCTTCTGCAGAAGTGGCCATTCGTTTAAAGGGCGCAGCAGGCTCGGAACAGCCGCAGGGAGGCCAGTAAGGCCGCTGGGGAGCCCAGTGTGGGGGAGGGACAGAATTTGTGGAAACTTTTTTTTTTCTCTCTCTCAGGGTTCTAGGGCGTCAACTTCAAGACCTCGCTCTTGATGGTGGTGTATTAGGGAACTAAGCTGCCCTCCGCCCTATCGCTAGTGAGGTGGAATCGTAGGGCAAAGACAAAACTATGGGGGCTATAACAGAAATTACGGTGTATACAACTGAGTGGGGGAACTTACTGCGGGGGATAAATAGGGCTGGGCGGCCCCTTGCAGTCTTGAAGACGTAGCTGAAGAATGGAAAAGAGCAATTTGTGCCCTGGAACTGCATGTACGGGGCCCCTGAGGCAGTAAAGGAAAGGAAAGGAGGCCAACAGGGATGTAAAGCTGGAAAAGAATTAGAGGCTGGAGAACAGGCTAGGCTTATCACAGGCCATGCTAGAATACTTTGTGTTAGTTTCTAGGGCTGCTGCAGCTAATTGCCAAACACTTTATGGCTCAGAACAGAAATTTACTCTTACAGTTCTGGAGGCCAGACATTCCAAATCAAGGTGTCCACAGAGCCATATCCCCCCTGAAGGCACAAAAAGGCTATTTGGTCTTGTTTTTCCGGTCTTTGATGGCCCAAAGCATCCTTGGCTGTGGCTGCATATTTCACTCCACCTTTACCCTCATATGTCTTTGTGTTTCTTTTCTGTCGCTTATAAAGACACTAGTGTTTGGATTTGAGCCCTGTCTGGCTAATCTAGAATTAATTGCACCTGCAGAGACCTTTTGTTCCAGATCCGATCACAGACCAGAGGTTACAACTCCTTCTTTGAGGTCTCCAGCAGCTCGTTATAAACTGGTTTTGTAAAGGAAGGAAACCTGACCTTGTGGCTGGTCAGAGTTGGGCTACAGATAGTTAAGTAGGTTCAAAGCACTATGCAATGAGTTTTACTCTTTCTTTTCTTTTCTTTCTTTCTTTTAGGTAATGGGTATTAAACGCAGAGCCTTTACACTGATCTATGTCCCAAGCCCTTTAAAAAAAAAAAAAAATCTGAGACTGGGTCTCAGAAAGATGCTGTGTTGCCTGGATTGGGCTCAAAATTGCAATCCTGCCTCAGCCTCCTAGAGTGCCGGGATTATAGGTATGTGCTTCCATGTCCAGCTCTAAATTTTTCTTCTTTTTTTAAAATTTTATTTATGTGTGTGTGTGTGTGTGTGTGTGTGGCCAGCTTAGCCCACCAGGGGGCGGGGCTGGCTGGCATGTGGTGCTGGGGGATCGAACCGTGGTCCCTGTGCTTTAGCCAAGCTTGTTCCAAGTAGGTGCTTTAGACCACTGAACCATCTCTCCAGCCCTAAATTTTTTTTCTTACCTTTTGGTATGTTCAGCTGTTTTCTCCTGTACTGGAGATTAAACCCAAGGTCTTGCACTGAGTTACATCTCCAGTTCTTTTTATATTTTATTTTGAGACAGGGTTTCGCTAAATCTCCTAGGCTGGATCCAGGCTTTCCAGTGTCTTACTTCTTCCTCCTGAGTAGCTGAGATAAACAGGTATGCGCCACCATGCCTGGCTCACCTTATTTGTTTTGAAATGCTTTTTACAATTAGAAAAAAATCCAAAGCTCTTTACAGTTTGAACAACAACAAAACAGCTTTTGTAAGAGGGCATGAAAAAAGTGCAAATGAAGAGCAGTTTTATTTTTCTGTTCTTATGGATGGAAATATCTGAGGGAAGAGTGTTCAAATGTGAAAGTAAGTTCAATCAGAAAGTGGAAATGTATCTGGGATTGATTTGAAATAAGTTTTGGAACTGTTATGATTGATATTGCGTAAAAATGCCCTTCCTATTTGTAGATACCACTTGAGGTAGATAAGACATGTAAACTTTTTAGCTAGAAGGCCTGAGGCAGGAACATCTTTAGAAATTTACAATTAAAGACTTTGATACTAGGCTTGGCCATTGTCTTAACCAGTTGAGATGTATAACTGGTGAAGCTGTGCTTTATCTTTCCTTTGCTATTTTTATAGTCCTTTTGAACTAGGGCAGAAGTTTACATGAAGACCAAAAATCCTGCCTGTCCTTGGGCTCAAAAACATACTCAATTGGCTAATATTTTTAGCCAACAGTCCCTTAGACAAAGGACTGATAAAAAATCAGACCCTCCAAATTCAAAGACACAATCTAAAAATGGGCATCTGAGGTGAATACACACTTCTCAGATGAAGAAATACAGATAGCAAATATGTGAAAAGTTACATCTCTGTAGTGGATTGTGAACTAGTGGTCAACTTGTTACACCCAGCTGAATTGAACTAGCTGGGTACTGGGTGTGGGAGACTCACCTGAGGATTGTTGGCAGCAGCATGAGAGGCAGAACTGGAGAAGCTGCTGAGAGGCTGTTAGGGAAGCTGTTTAGAGAAGCTGTTGGAAGCTGCTGGTTCTCTTGGGCTAGTCTGCTGGGGGACCTTGTCATTCTGGCTTCCTTGATGAACTTAGCTGTTCGTGTTGGAGGAGGAGCTCAGGCCCTTGGAGACACTGAGAATAACTACGGTTCATTTAGGGAGAGCTTTGGTCCCCATATTGAGCACTGCTTCCTAGCTCAGGAGGGGAAGATGGTGCACTGCTCAGCCTCATGGAGAAGCTTGTGGTTCACTTTCCTGATGGGAACTCAGCTTTCCTCATCGCTGGAGGAGCGCGGGACCTCACTGTTGCGAGGATGGCTGTGGTACTTGTCAGGGGAGCTCTGGTTCTTACTTTGAACATTGCTTCCTGACTCCAGCTCAGATCTCTCAGCCTGCTGGCACAGATCCTTCTTCCCACTGGCACAGACTTTCTAGCTTCCACCACTGACCTTTGGGCCTTTCCAGTGTAAATCCATGAAGTGGGCCTGCATGAGACGTTGTTGTGAGTTCTAGGCCTCCAACTGGACTTGTGAAGGGCCTTGTTATGGGCCCCAGATCTTCAGCTGGACTCATGCGGGGTATTAGGATCCAAGCCCTCACCTGGGTTCTTTGGTCTCTAGTGTGTGGACAGATTTTCCGCACTGTTTGTATAAGGTTCTTGGGTGATTATAAAATAATCTTTTAAAATGTGTCCTGCATTGTATTGTTTCCCTTGCAAAAACCCCAGACTATGACAATATCTTCGATCATTTGAGAAATGCAAATTAAAACCACACTGAGATTCCATACCACCCCAGAAAGAATGCCTATCATCAAGAAATTAAAAAAATGAAAAAAATCAAACAATAACAAATGCTGGGGGGACCTTGGGGGAAAAGGAACTCTCCTCCACTCTTGGTGGGAGTGTAGACTGGTGCAATTACTGTGGAAATCAGTGTGGAGATTTCTAAAAAAAACTAGGATTACAGGTTACATTTGACCCAGCTATTCAATACCCTTCTGGGTATCTTCCCAGCAGAACATCATATTGCAGTGATATATGTGTACCATGTTTATAGCAGCACAACTTGTATTAGCTAAATCAAATTCCTATGAACCAAGGATTAGCTTCAAAAATGTCTTTTTATACAATGGAGTACTACTCAGCCATAAAGAAGGTTAAACTGAAGACTTTCATAAGCAAATGGATGCACCTTGAGACCATACTTACATGTGAAGTAAATCAGACTCACATGTGTTACATCATATTGTCTTTCTAGTGTGAGAAACTGAAAGAGTAAACAAGATCCAAAATGAACAATACACGGGGAGATGGCTCAGTAGAATAAGCGCTTGCCTGGCAAGCGGAAGGGCCTGAGTTCAATCCCCGGTCCCACAAAAAAAAAAAAAAAAAAAAAATCGCCGCAACAAAAAAAAAAAAAAAAAAAAAAAAAAAAAAAAAAAAAAATGAACAATACATGCTGTGAAAGGGAAAGAAACTGCTCAAAAGGAAAGACTAACTGGGCTGAGGGAAAGGTGAAAAGAAGGAAGGGAAGATACAATGTGTTTGTGTTCAATGGAAATGAAGTAATAATCACAGGATAGCTAAGATAATTATACTACTAATTTCTATTAGTGCATTGAA